AACTTCTGTTGTTTTTCAAGTATTCAATTGATATATATATATATATATATATAATATATATATATATATAATATATATATATAATACACACTCTAGAATATTTTCATCTTAATATATATAATACACACTCTAGAACATTTTCATCTTAATATATTACAGAGTGTACAATTACACAACTAACGTAACACTTGCAGAACTAGTATTCTTCGATGCTGAATTAATATAAACAAGTATGTTTATGACATTCAGTATATATTTCATAATTTCCAGTCTTAAATCAGTCTGACCATGTAGCTCAGTAGGTAGAGCGTCGATCTAGTAATTCGAAGGTCTCATGCAGTTGGCAGAGCATTGGGCTAGTATTCCAAAGGTTCTAGGTTTGATTCCTACCGTGGGCAGGCATATTTTTCAAGCCTGCCCGGTGTGGATATACACTCAGAGTAACATCACAAGCATATTAATCTCTTTGTTTGCTAAAAACATTTTTAAACAACAAAGAGGTTAATATTGTATGCATCATATTTTTGCCATGCTTAATATTTAGTAATTAGTCGGCTTTTTCGTTGGTATTGTACACGAGACATGCTGGAAAAGGAAACCCTTACTGTTTTTAGAACAATTGATAAACAAAAGTAAGAGCACTTCATTTACACAATGAAGGAATATATTATATCTCCCTCCCTATACAGGGTGTATAAAAAAAAAACGCAACCTCGGAATTTCCTAAGAAATCACTTCGCAATTCTAATAGATCATACTATTGCTGTTGTTCATTAAATGCATGCATAAATTTTGCTTTATGCACTCGCGTGTGCAATAATTTTGACAGTTGTGCTATTTTAAATTCCCAGGCGCCTAAAATCTTTTGTCTTTAAAACAATGTCCATTTCTTGGGAAATTCCGAGGTTGCGTTTTTTTGATACACCCTGTAGGAATATAACGAAATTTGTAGAGCGAATATTTTGTCTCATCAGCTCTCTGCTGGAACTAATTAGATTTGTCTTTGCTAATTAGTTCCACTCGAGAAATCACAAGACAAAGAGAAATTCCGCTCCGCGCGGAAAATTCGGCTTAGTGGAAAACAGCCTTTAGGAAAAAATACTCTTCTAAACATGTTTGATGGCAAAACCAGGATTTATATTAAGACCCCCAAACGTTTACTGGTTAAAAATATTTATTTGGACGACCTTTCGACTGCCAGTCTGCAGTCTTCGACAGGTATTCGAAGTGAATGCCAGAACAATACCGCTTTCTGCTCAAAAAACCTTAAATTATTTTCAATGTAAACAGTCATTAATCTTATATGCGTTGGCGGAACTGTCAATAATTGTATTTTGTGTGAGAATATTGTATTTGTAAACCGGTACCACTGTAAATATCACATTTACTTTAATCTATACCCGTGGAAGACTGCAGACTGACAGTAGAAAGCTCGTCCAAATAAATATTTTAAACGATGCAGTGAACGTTTGAAACTCTTAAAATATTGTTCGTCGCTTTCCCGACCTCAAGCCCGTCAACCTAACGACTTTCGAGTTTGATTGCGACATTACATCGCGGAATGCAATACTGAACTGGGCAAATATTGTCGGTGTTTAGGAAGATACGTAAAACACGTTGTGACTGTTTTTGGTGAAGTAAACATGTCTGATGCTGTATTCTCCTTGTTGATCGGTTGGACAATAGCTTTTGCCACAGTAAGGTTTTGATATTTCGTCCAAATAAAATCCAAATAGCTTCATACACTCTTTCAAAATTGTGTAAGCAGCTTGCATAATTAATCAGATGAAGTCATGTGATAAATATATCTGGTCACATGTCATGTATATTTCTATAAATATATATTTATCCTTTCCTAAATTCACAATATATATATATATATATATATATATATATATATATATATATATATATATATATATATATATATATATATATATATATATATCGCTCGATATACCGAAGTATAGAGCTATAAATAAAGATAAAGATAAAATAAACCTGGTTTACTTCATAAGATTTATTCACTACAAACTTGTTTCGTATGACAAGCAATGCTAAAATTCACCTGATGAGTGTGGCAAGCATTGCTTGTCATATGAAACAAGTTTGTAGTGAATAAATCTTATGAAGTAAGCCAGGTTTATTTTATCTTATGTAGTTAGATATAATTGCTCTATGGCCTTTAGGTCATATTGAGCACCCTACAGGATGAGCCATTGCCGCTTATGCATTGTGCGCACGCTCACTGCTTGTAGTTTGAGCACTCTGGCAATGGTTTGATGTCCCACATTTGTGAGGCATCAAAGGTAACTATTAATACTAGTTACTTTCATCCTGCTCATCAGCACTACACTGATGAGGCCCATATATATATAATATATATATATATATATATATATATATATATATATATATATATATATATATATATATATATATATATTTTGATATTTCGACAGTTGCCGTTGTTTGAGCTTATATATATTTTGACAGTTGCCGTTGTTTGAGCTTTCCTTGAAGGGCACTATAGAACATTTTCAACTTTCATATTACGGAGTGAACAATAACACATGAATTTAGATAGAGCAGAAATAATCGTATAATTGTTATTTATATGTATAAGTTCCAATTTATTCATAACAACAATATGGTTGAGTAGGTTTTATTTACTGTAATGGCCAGAATAAAATACAGCTATTTTAAGGCCAGCTTCTATGGAGGTAAAGTTTAGATGTGTGTTTACATGGAGATGGCCTTGAAGTCCTTGCTTAAGATTTGTCAACCGCCACTACACATGTCACCTTCAAGACAGGTTCAATTAATTAACCACTTGCCTGTGCACTTTCATAATGTTTGGCAATAGAAATCCCAGCACTCACACAATCACAGCGGGGCAAAGAGTTGATCTTTTTAATAATTTGCTGGCCACTAGCTGATAGATGTGAGAAAAATTGAATATTTGCTGTTTCTCGGGTACAATATTGCATGTAAGTACATTTCATCAATTAATATTGATTTCATATTCACTGCAAGTCTTGCTCATATTTAATTTAATTATATTCCCTAAATAACGTTTATGATTATGTTTCTAAAACATTTGTGTAGAGCAATTATAGAATAGTTACTGAGTGAGACCATGAACTCAAAGCTTCGATGTTGTTCTAATGGCCTGGTAAGAATAATAATATTCTAGTTGAACCCTTCCCTAACCTTGATCATATACCTATTCAACAAAATTTGAATACAATTTTTATAGCAGTGCATTGGCCGACTCAGGATCAGTGGATGCTTATTCTACCAATTCCTGTACGGTATATCAGGTCCATGAATTTCTCGGCCACAAATGTACCATTTTGCTCCAACCTAGAATTCCCAGTAGTCATGCATGCATGCTTTTGTCTTTGTTCTTTGATACAATTGTATTCATTTATTTGGTAAAATTTTATTATTAATGGTAATTGAGATAAACATAAACTATATGTTGTTCTAATTTATTTATAATTACAACAATATGGTTGAGTAGGTTTTAATGGCCATAATAAAATACACATCAAGACCTGCTTATATAAGAGGCAAAGTTTAGATGTGTGTCTAGATGAAGATACTGTAGCCTTGAAGGACCTACCTTAATTTACTTAGACCACTTTCATCCATGTTAACATCACAGTTTAGGTGATTTTCCCCCCAGTGCTCTTTAGATCAATATGAGAGTAATCAGATTGCTTTTTACATTCAAGAATCCATTAATGGATTCTTGAATGTAAAAACTCAACTCTTACCATTATTGGTTATTATAGATTTCCCATATGGTAAATTAGTAAAAACCGTGATATTTAATATTTACCATTGATGGTACTTTATTATTTTTCCTGTGCACAAGAAAGTACCATCAATGATAAATAATGAACATGATGGTTTTTACTAATTTACCATATGGGAAATCTATAATAACCAGTAATGGTAAGAGTTCAGTTTTTGCATTTGATGGTATACATATGGCTCATATATTACAGTTGATTTCACGAAACTTTGGCCACGCCAATTGCGAGGTTGGTTGGGAATTTGGGAACTATAAACACGAGATCATCAAGTTGATTGGAAACCGGCCAATCAAATTCGAAAGTTTCGCATCAAATTATCGAAATTCGTTATGAAATTCCGAACCAAGTTCGCAAGCAAGTTCGCAAATTGCAAACGATTTTGACGGTAAATTTTAAAAACTAAACTTATTGTATTAAACTTATTATAATTTTAAACCTGAAATTATTATTATTATTATGATATTATTTATTATTAATTTTTTTCCTATGTTAAGCACTTACTGACGTTTTTGACCGGAAGGCAATCGAGCCGTTATAGATGATGGCGAGTGACAACAACAGCCCGTTGAAATCTTGGATGTGAAACTACAATGACTGCCGTTCTTGATTTCAAACAAGAACTGCTGACACCATCAGTTGCCATTAATAACGGCTTAATTGACTTCTGGTTGGCGTCTTTGTTGGCAAAAACATCGCTTGCTTAAGATTTCTATCAACCGGCGCCAAACATGACAGGTTCAATTAATAATCACTTGCATAATATTTGCGCCTATTTTTTTCCGCCGACCCTATTATTTTTTCAACGCAATTGACTGTGCGACCCTATTTTCTCCAGGTGGTTGCGGGCTGCTCATACAGCGTGCCAAAATGGCATCTGTTGTCACACTAATTATTGAACCAAATTGCTTAAATTCGTCCATAGGAAATACGCATCTCTAGTTAATATTGATGTCGGGACTCAACTGCAAATCGCGCAGCAAAAAACCGCCAAAACCATGAAAAAATATTTTAAAAAAAATTTATTTCCGACCTACCGACCCTAATTTTTTCACAATAGGAAACCGGAACCACAGGTATTTTCTTTTACGCCCAATATAAATTCCGGCACTCTCGCAATCACAGCAGGACAAACAGTTATTTTAAATTAAACAATTTGCTGGCCACTGATAGATGTGAAGAAAATTTGCTGTTTCACGGGTACGGGGTACATGTAAGTACATATTTCATCATACACTAGAAAAAAAATAGTGAAATTTATACTATGGAATTTGCGATTGCATCACTAAATCCATAGTATATCCATACAGACCATACTGTTTCCACAGAATGGAAATTGCAAATACGGCGAAGAGACAAATGAACTGGGAGAAGGGAGCTGTGGTTGGGGGTGGGAAGAGTCTGCAGTAGCCATGGGAGATCGAATTTAGGAACTGAAGGCAAGGCCAGCGATTGGCCTTTAATTTAATTTAATTTAATGTACTGTAACTATGTTTATGTTACATATCGGCATTCATTATATGCAGTCGATGTGACCAAATAATATCACAAAAGTAACAAGTATTTCGTACTGAATCAAAAGAAGCATTAAAATGAGGTTACAGTGCTTTATTTGTGCCTGAGAGAATTGCATAATATTTATCCTATATACGGAAAAAAAAGACCTTGCTGGGTAAGCATTGGTACCATTACGCACACTGCTAGAATATAAACGTGCGTAAATATGATAAATAAGTAATAATAAAACCTTCAAAATATGTCTATTCTGTTAAATGTTTCGCACTTTATACTCTACTTAACCTACGGGAACAAAATATGCAGAGTAAGTAAATTCGCACACAGCTGCAATAACTTGCGTATACTATTATTATAATACTGTAGGTCCTACTGTATAAGGATAATAAGACCAAACTTAGACAGGTTACTAAAAACCTTCAAAATACGTCTACTCTGTTTACTCTCTAATATACCTTTTAGATAACAGTTGTTTCGGTAATAAAGGTAATAAACAGTTTCATGTAAATGCATAACTTACTATACGTTTGTTTATCGTTTGATGGTCTAATATGGTCTATATAATACCGTACTGCAGCAGACCTGCCAACACTCATATAGACCTGTGACGTAGACCTGTGATCTCCCGGTCTCCCGGTATAGTGAATTCTCCCGGTGTGCCAAACTGGCAATTATCCATATTTCTTGTCGTTCTTATTGAATTTTATCGCGAAATATCTAGTATACGCGCGGCTGCGTTTCGTTTTATCCATTTATTGTAACGACTTCAATTGAAAATTATAAAATTGAAGTATTTATTTGTTAAAACACGTCTTCATGTTGTATTTGCAGTCCAAGATAGTGCCCAATTTAACATTAGTGAAGGGGCGCGCTCGTCTTGTACTGCGAGTGTAGCTAGGACTTAGGAGTTTGAACGAGCTACTAATCTGACTGCTCTAATGAAAAGGACTTTGATGGATTTTCTCCTTCAAAACAACCAATTCTCCCGCCAAATTAAGTGTTTAAATAAGAATTCTCCCTATACAGTATATCAGTCGCTAAGGGTGGCAGGTCTGCTGCAGAGGGAAATCTAAATATGCTACAGACTGTACATAATTTTGCCACACGCACTGTGACGGTAACTCGTAAACCCTCACAAGACAAAGAAAAATTCCGCTCCGGCCGCGCGCAAAATTCCGCCTAATGGAAAACCGGCTTAAGTGGCAGTACCCGTTAAATTGCCGCTTTATTTTCGGGACGCGATCCTGGCGTACAAATTTATGTATTGCCACGTTCCATCTTACTTGTCTTGTCAGTTTATTAAACGATGTGATGTGAGTAAGCGGACTACCAGAAGCTCCGCCAGTGATCTTTTTATTACCGTATACATGCAGTCAGCTCATGGAACTGATTAGAAACTTCTTTAAAACTCAATTACTAAATAATAATAAAACCAGTTTATTTTATCTTAGTTGAATGGTATTGTAGATGGAAATTATCGAGTGGAAATTTATATATGTTTATTATAGACCTAACCATGAGGAACAGAAGCGAAAAATGCAACTTTAGGTCTCTGGCGGGAATCGAACCTGCGGCTCTGCGATTCCCATCTACAATACTCTTCAACTAATTTTCAATCGACTGAGATGCCAACAAAATCTAGATAATTATTTACACATAACCTACACATGGCAGTATACCCTAGTATATATAATTGATACACGAACTTGTGGTTAGAGCTCGACAACTCGCCTCTGTAGCTCAGTTGGTTAGAGCTCTGTACCGGAATCGTAGGACCGCAGGTTCTATTCCTGCGAGGGACCTGTAGTTGCATTTTTCGCTTCTGTTCCTGGTTATAGGTCTAATAAATATTTGTATGTAAGTTTCCACTCGATAATTTCGATATACAATATCATTCAACTAATATTCAATCGAGTGAGATACCAACAAAATCTTGATATATTTATATTATCTTAGGACTAGTATATCGTTTTACATAATTAGTTTAGTTATACGTATTGCATGTAAATGATTACTGAAAAGCCTCCTTGGGGAATGTTCATTAAATTATTGTATTGTATTGTTGTATTTTTGCACGTTGCGAGTATCTGATAAAACCACGTGCTTAAAGCCCTATAAGCTCATAACGTCACGTTTGATCCGTGCATGGTATAAACCTAATATGTTACTCTGTTAAAACTTTTGCCCTTTCGTATTTTCACCATTTGAAATTGCATAGGAAAGCTACAGTATACCCAAGAACTGCAATATGGTCATGCCAATTATGGCCCAATCGTTATCCAAATTCCACGCATTTCGAGCACGTGGTTGATTTTAAAGAGTCTTAACTCGTCGTTACGTCATTATACGAAAAACGCGTCATTATACGAAAATACAATGAGCTTAACATGAACTCAGACAAAAACATAACACAATTATGACTTTTGTGTAGTTTCTAGACCAACGTATCTTGATAGACTATGGTCTCTTAGTTTGCATGATTACCAACAAGTGTTGCATATTGTATCTTTTGTTTCTCTAGTGATTTCTAAATGTTGGTGCAAGACACATTCGAGAGTGGTGTCCTAACTAAGAGAAAATGTCCATCGCCATCATCAGGAACATCGACACCACTTTCTCTCATTGAGAAGATCAAACAGAGTATTGGATTGGAAAAGAAATTTTTCTCGTTGGAATTTTTCCCACCAAGGACGCCTGCAGGAGCTGCAAACTTGATTGGAAAGCTAGAAAAGTACAGTAAAATATTTTGTTGCTTACATATAGCTTCGGGCAATATCTCGTGTGAATAGCAGCATTGTACAATAAGAACTTTATTTCAGGCCAGTGGCCCAACCCCGGGATAAGAAGATTACTATAGAGAGCGAGCCTTGACTACGCGACTACGAAATTCATTGTTTGCACACGCCATCTTCTTACGCCAATCACATACATTCAAGGCATAATCTCGTAGTATAAGGAATGGCTTTATTGTCTGACAAGGTATAAAATTAATGTAGTTCATCTTTGTGTGGCCTTTATTTTAAGTTCTTTGTATAGGTTTGCATGGGTAGTTCTTTGTGAGGTTCTTTTAATTTTAAACTCGTTTACACTATAGAGTTTTTGTCACGAAATACACTGAGCTGAGTTGTTGTATGAATGTTGTTGAATGTTGATTTTTGTTCGTCGCTATATAACAAAACGCTTAATGTTGAGACTCTCGGGAAAACAAAACAAAACAAAAACTATTTCCCTCGGCAGCAGACATTAAGTGTATATTGTATACATTTAAAATCTTTTACACATGAACAAATAGATAATTTATTAAATTTAACAATGTACACAGTCATACACGTGGATAAAGGAAAAACGAGGTTGAAGGCATATAGCCAACTGGACAAGAATCCCATATGAATATCCAAATACCCCCATCGTAGTCAAATATTGACTGACTAAAATGTTTGCTGTATTATTGCTAAACGTGCATTTATTTTGGATTTGGCGATATTATCAATTTCAACTATATAGGTCGAGACAACAGCTGGGCATTCTGTTGTCGCTGTCTAAATATTGCGGGCGCATTTCTTTAACAAACATTTTGATTCTTCGAACGCTGAAAATATGCATTGTGAGAGGATTTTTTGTCCTCTGTTACTGGTTTGTTCATGGAAAATAAAGTATTTCTTGAAAGATTAAGTTGTAGTGCTTGTACGCAACGATATAACGACTTAATCGCATGAAAACGTGCGAAGAATTTTTATTTACAAATGGGCGACAAGTGGAAATGTATCACTCATTGTCAGAGATTTAGAAGCAGGGTATAGCAGTATGGAAACAAGGAAGTGTTCATATGTTACTCTTGATAGAATCTGAGTTGTTGTTGTTTCCACAGGTATATGTTCAATAATTTGTTTGTCCTTCCTCATCAGGAATAAGAAGTGTCTTAAAATACATATTTTGATGAAAGTGACACATATTCCTCTTGCAATTTCGTAAAAACTGGCCGTTGCCTTCAGTTAGAAAATATATTTTATGAAAGTTAAATGATACTTTGTTTTATTAAAACCTGAGCTATTCATGGGAAAACTGTGCTAGATGTTGTAATTGACAAATCCACTTGTGAAGTGAAAATGTCACCTTATGAAATTGCTCCTGTATTGGTTTGTTATAAAGTAAAAATTGCTGCAAAAATGCTTTTGAAAATGTTCAAGTATTGGTTGTTATGAGATAGGAAATGCTGTATTGATTTGTTCAGTTTTAAGAGTCTAACGGCAATCCTGAATATAGGCATGCTTGCTTTGTGAAATTCTGTGGTGATATTGGCATATAAATAAAAATACCTTAAAATTTTGCCCATTGCCTCTCTCAGAAATATGCCTTAAAACTATCCTTATTAGTCAACCTTCATGGAAAAGTTAGTGGGTATGCTGGGAAAAATGCGCGCGACACTTTTTTTGGGCACTGAAGATGGTAACATTTGATGTTGTCATATATTGCCATCCTCTTATCGTAGCATAACTTAACCTATTTTAGTGAGTTTGTTAAAGAGTTGTGCTCATTATATGCCTGTAGTAACACCGCGGAAAAACGTCTGCGCATGCGTCAAGCTTACCTGTAATAGTATTACGAACTTGATGAGAAGCTGTTCCGAAGTCAACGTTTCCGAAAGCTCAAAATGGCGGTAAAAAGGAGTGACTTCATTGTGCGTCTTTACAGCCAGATTTCAAGCGCAAAAATAAACATGTCATTCTAAAAACTAGAAATAAATACAGCCAGAAAGTTCAAGAAATTGCATTATACAAGAACATGAACTAAAGGTGATTGTTGACAAATTTATCGTCTGAAACATTTTGTTTATCAACTAAGCAACGACAATTTCCGAATTTTCGTTTGAGATACATTTCTTTAAAAAAAACTGTGTCGCCAAATATAAAAAATTTCGTGTTCACAATAATGAAACTTTAGGATTTATTCTACAATTTGAGTGGGTTAAGAAGCTTAACTTTTCGAGAGTTTTCTTAACTTTTGAGTTTGAATTTTTGTTTTGAATAATTTTGCAAAAAATTTCGAAGTCGTATCCGTTAAAATCAACAATTTTTACATGAATTATATTTTATTCCATACTTTAAATGCCAGGACGCTTTCAATTAATGTCTAGTCTACCCATTTGCTATATTTTCTCGTTTGTTTTACTAATTTTTGACCAATTAATAAGCATGTTTTTGTTTTAGAAATTGATATTCAAATTCCCCGCCATATTTTCATAATTTGGTGCATGCGCAGACGTTTTTCCGCGGTGTTGCCTGTAATATCTAAGATTTTTTCATAGCATTATATGACAAATTTAAGTTCTGTTTTCTTTTATTTTTAGGTGATAGTATCTGTTCACTTGAGTGTTGGTATCAAATTTTGGACAAGTTTCAATTATTATTTCACATTCCTTTATTGAAATATCCAAATAAATGGAATATGACATCAAGCTGGAGGACTAGATTCTGTTTCCAAACTTGTTTTTGTAAAAATAGAAAATAACAACTAATTCTGTGTTGTTCTAATAAGAACTATTGTTTTTGATATGCATATTTAATTTTTAAAATTACAGTCATTCTTTGTTAAAATGTGTACCAGGAATACTGAAATCTTTCAGATCAGCTACCAATTCCCTTTATAGCTTATGTAGCCAAGTGTTCTATCTATTTCTGTTCAGATTAAACAAATGATGGGTAAAATATTAGTTTAGATTCTTTAAAAAAAAATGAGCTTGCCTATTTTCAAAGCATAAAAAGCAAAAAAAAATAAAGCAAAAGTACTTATTTTTAATTTAAAACCTTTGGATTGCATAGCTTAATGTTTTCCACTAAATATTACAAAGTTTTTCTTCATTGAATTGTTGTTTTATCAGCTTTAAAACCAGATAAATCCACGAAGCACTCCTAATATATGTCACCATATTGATTTTTTCGCGCATGCTCCGTACAAAATGTCCAGCTGTTGGTCGAGACACAATCGGCGGCCACGCTGGAAACATGCGCGCATAACGAGTTTCCTATCCTGCCCATGTTTACATCGGCAACTTCGCCTTGTATTTATTTTACCTATAATGTTGCATAATCAGTAGAATTCACTGAGACAACATAGGGATGTTCTCCATGCAGTATGAACATACCAGTCGGCTTATCGGGATAAGGTCTAGCCTGCGCGCAGTCCCAGACTCCCAACTGCACAACTTCGAACGAAAGCCTTGCTTCGCCCGCTCAGCCCGTTTTCCAGATTTTTGGGAAAACAATCTATGTAAGAAAATTAATACGCTAAATATGCTGCCGCTCGAATAACAAATTAAACAAATATGGCGGCAAGTGAAGGAGCGTTTGATTTATATGCTGTGTTTCTGTCGCCATTTCTACAGCGTGTGAGCTTCTAAATGTTGAAAAATTTTATCCAGATCAAGAAGAAGCCTTGTGTAATTGCTTTAAAGAGGACGATTTTTTTAGTGCTCATACTGGCTATGAAAAGTCGCTCATTTCCCAAGCTATACCAATCATTGCCGATGTTCTAAAATAATGACCAAGGAATTTGAACATCAAAGTACGGTACTTGTTATATCGCCATTATGATCACTTATGAAGAGTCAAGTAGAAGGCATATCAACAATTTCTTTGGTATTGGATATCTAATATTTGTTTACAGTACAGAAGAAGACAGTACGGAATGTATACATGAATTTAACCGATCGCAATGTCACATGTACTTTGCAGAACCTTGCTCCTGCTTGTATATTTAATATTTCCTAGTATTTGGTGCACATATCTGGTGTGCCACAAAGTATCATTCCATACAGGAGTTCACTGTTAAATATTCTTACGATTTACAATAATTAGGAATGGAATATTGCAGCATACACTACTGTATTCTATTTACATTCCACTTGTAATTTTGCATGTATAGGAATATATATGGGTAAATATCAGGATTTTGGGCAGCTACACTCGATATACGATAGTATTTGTAGATGGAAATTTCAAGTGTGAATTTTATACACTGATTAAACCTAACAAGGAACTGTTGCTAAAAATGCAACTATAGACCAACTATAGACCCTGGCAGGAATCGTGCCTGTCACCTTGCGATTCCGGTGCAGCCCCCTAACCAACTGAGCTTCTGAGGTCAGCGGTCGAGCTCTAACCGCAAGTTCATGTATGTATACTAAGGTGATGCCAATGTAAGGTGTATGGGCAAATTTCCATCCACAAAACGCATCTATAATTCGTTATATCAAGTGTAAGTGCCCAAAATCATACGAATATAAATGAAGTAGTGATATATATATATATATATACAAGCTTTCGTCACCGGAAAAAAAATTGAAAATCCATAGAAAGTCATAGAATGGAAATTGTATGGACCTTTATTGGAAATAGAATGGATTTTTGATTTTTGGTTATCCATAGTAAGGGAATATTTCCATAGTATGGATATAGTATGGAAATAGGATGGATATACTATTATACAATTACTTTATGGTTTCCGTGTTTGGATGGCCTGATCCAAACACGCGGGAATGTTGCGAGAGTTAAGAAAAGCGCGCGAAACACGAGCCGAAGGCGAGTGATTTTGCGCACTTTTCTTAACTCGAGCAACATTCCCAAGTGTTTGGATCAGGCCATCCAAACACGGAAACCATAAAGTAATTGTTTTATAAAATAACTACAACACGATAGTCTTCCGTGTTTGGATGACCTGATCCAAACACGGGTTTCGACCAATCAGAGCACGCGTTATATACATGTTATTTTATAAAAGGTTTAGTGGTGCAATTGAAAATTTCGTAGTATGGATTTCACTTTTTTTCTCCATTGCGTTGGTAGGGATGCAACTACCTGAAAAATACATACACTGTGTCTAGATGCCCGGCATTCATTAGTATTCATAAGATATAGCTCATATATCATTTTAGCAATATGAAAAGGTTATTTTGCAATGAATTTCAGCTAGGTGCAGTTATAGTTAGCTCAGTAACTAAAGCATGCGACTGAAAAACTTTTCTGTAGAACATAGTTTAAAGTGTTTTTTTCCAGACCGGTTTTAACTCTCCTCAACCTTCAGGGGTTAGATGGCTGGGGTTATGATTGGGATCAGCTTTTTCCTAAATGTGACTTTAACTATAAATGTCAGTCTGCCGGGGATCTATAGTATTTGGAAACTACTACCCGGCTGCCAGGCATGTAAACACAAGGAAATATATATGCTGCCATATTCCATTCCTAATTATAGTAAATCTTGAAAATATTTAACAATGGACCCCTGTATAGAATAATACATTGTTGCACGGCGGATATGTGCACCAAATACTAGGAAATATTATTAATAAATATACAAGCAGGAGCAAGGTTCTGCAAAGAACATGTGACATTGCGATCGGTTAAATACCTGTATATATTCCATACTGTCTTCGTCTGTATTGTAAACAAATATTAGATATCTAATTCAAATTACAGTGTATAATTACACGACAATCCTACCAAAGGAATTGTTGATATACCTTACTTGACTCTTCATAAGTGATCATAATGGGGATATAACAAGTACCGTACTTGTGCAAATTGCTTGGTCATTATTTTAGAACATCATGCAGCAATGATTGGTATACGTAGCTTGGGAAATGAGCGACTTTTCATAGCCAGTATGAGCACTAAAAAAATCGTTCCCTTTAAAGGAATTACACAAGGCTTCTTCTTGATTTGGATAAAATTTTTCAACATTTAGAAGCTCACACGTTGTAGAAATGGCGATAGAAACTCAGCATGTGAATCAAACGCTCCTTCACTTGCCGCATTTCGTCCATTATTATTTGCATGGCGATGCTTGGACTCACTTTTGTGCTAATAAGTTAAACTTGAGTTTTGTTTCGGGATGCAGGCGAGATTAAAAGACTTGGGGGTTCATTTTGAACCTTGGCCCACTTCGATAACAGTAGTGTACAAAACTAAAGTCATACACTAACCGTGGCCTGGATTATGAACATGTCTGAAGTTAAAATTATTTTTATTTTACCAGATTTTCATCAGGCTCCCCATTGTTTTGTGACGTCACGTGGCATGCCGCAGGTGACCCAGGCGGAGACAAGGAGACAAGTTCCATGCATATTGCTGGTACTATCTTGGATTACTGTGGAGTGGAAATTATGTTGCATATTACATGTGCCAATGAAACGAGAGAAACTATTACTAGACATTTATACAAAGCGAAATCTATGGGCATAAGAAACATCCTGGCATTGAGAGGAGGTATATGGTTGTGTTCACAGTGTCTCGATTTATGTTAAAGAGGGTTGATTCTTGTTCACGTAGCATGTGGAGGGATAAAGTACCTGGTGTGCGAGGTTGGTTGCGCACTCAATTATAGCGTTCGACGCCGGCTTGCAGCTGGAAAAAATGTCTTCGATTGCTCGTCTGTCAGCTGGTACACCATGCTGTAATATACTATTGGTTCAAGAAATGCGCGCCTTTCGGAGACTGGTTCCAGAAAACCATCAAAATTACATTAAATTTTGCTAAATTCATCTTCCCAATTTCTATGTACTATTTAAACATGAGCAACAGTGTTTTATCAGGTATAAAGATACGAGGCGAAGCCGAGTATCTTTAGGTCTGATAAAACACGCACTGCGAATGCTTTAAATTGCTTAAACAACGATCGATCTAGTAGGTTCATTGGCGAAGTAATTTTCAGAAAATACGTTGTGTATGTCGAGAAAATCAAAAGTTAAAGTTTATGTAAATCAGGGGAATCTCTATCACATATAAAGATACCACCATATATATCTTATATACAGTAGATAGTGCATCTAATTATTCTAGAATTCAAAAATTGAAGCCGTGATTGCAGACTCAGGATATTCCCATGAAATGAGAAGATTCGTATGTTTTCTATTTCTTAAACACGGAACATAAATATTAAGGTAAACCTAATCCAAATACATTTTTAAACTATTCAAATGATCAAAGTTATTGTTGTTTTTTGAGCGTTTATTAGCGAGTGGGAAACACCAACATGGCCGCCATCTATTCAAATGGGTAACCGCTGAAATATTCTTGACTTCAATTTTACTAAAAGAGATGCGCTATCTAGTCTATATAAGATATCTATGCATGGATACGACACGCTTATGATTTTTCTTTGTGTTTTCCTCATGAATTATTAACGGTTTTGAAAGCTATAGCTATATATAACATAAATAAACGAGAAAAACAAATCCGGCAAAGAGAACAATAAAAATTCATTTGCGTTCACTCGAAGATTCGAACTCACGATGTAATCAGTGGCGTAGTTAGCGGTCCCGCTGTCCCGCCGGGCGGGACTAACAATTTCCAAAAAAATGTGTAAATGTTTTATAGTGAAGCCAAAATCACTGCTAATTTGCTTATTCTGAAAATTTAAATATAATTATGGTAATTTTTCAGCGCTTTCATTTGTCATTTATTTAAAGTTTACGCAATATTGCTGTCTGCTCTTTGACCTCTTTGTTGTCTAGTAACTGATACCCTGTAGAATTAGCTAATTTCCACGCAATTTATTGCTTACTCACGCTATTCGTGAATCGCATGTCTCGTGTTCCGCTGATTTTCATGTGGCGGGATACGCAATACTATCTTATACAAGAAATTCTGGTTTCTGGTTGGATAATTGGCGCAGCGCATGCCCAGAACGGTTGTTTTTAATGCCGAAGTCCCGCTATTTTATGAAGGCGGAGGTTGTTAATATTCAAACCTTTCTGACGAAGCTTTCTGCGCGAGTATTCACGACTGTGACGGTGGTAGGTCATCATATTACTATTCATATCATATTTGATGTTGCTTTTGTGATTTGTATACAATGGCTTCAACGAGCGTGACGAGCCTTATGGAAAGCCACAGCGGAATTTCATTTCATTCGTTGCTTTTAGCATTATATTATGTATGTGGTGCTTTTATCGTTATACGAGGTGCTCTTTACATTATACGCGGTGCTACACTTCGAGTTCGAGCATTATACGCGACGATTTTGACATATATCAAGATATATGGGCTACACGCAACATTGTACGAGGTACTTTTAACATTATACGTGGTGCTTGAGACATTTATTTAATAATATACGCGGTGTTTGAGACATACGAGGTGCTTTTAGCATTATACGCGGTGCTTGAGACATTATACGCGGTCGGTATAACGTTATACGCAGTACTCAGTGCAGAAGGCAATATTTTTGCCTAGCACAGCACTTCTCTGAGCTCACGCAGATCTGCTCTGGGCCAGATGGCATTTTTTGTATTTTACGAAGCGAAAATACTCCTGTTAGAGGTGTATGGAAACTTTGTTTAGTGGCATCCTTCCACCCTCGAAATCGCAGGAAATGCCATTTCCGCGGTTCTAGATTTCAAATTTTCTCGGGGGGGCATGCCCCCGAACCCCTCTAGGAAGGTCGCACCTTCGGTGCGAGGGGTCCGCCTTCGGCGGGACGATTTTTTTCAGCCAGCTACGCCACTGACGATGTTTGACCTCAACAAATTTCCTATCACAAGTTTAAGTTATCATGTGCATGAATGTACATGTATGCAGCAAATATTCTATTAACAATGGTCTGATATTTCCGGGCGACGCCGACGTGATATTTCCGCGTTACTGCAAGACCTGAATAGCTGCCACAACAATTTATTTGTCCAACCACACTCAAGTGCTCAAATGACACAATGATGTTGAACCCATGCAGATGAGCAAAAATTTGTACTTTGCCAAGTTTTTATGTTACAGGTGTACTAGTTTGTGCTAGCGATTCTTCACAACGAGTAAACAATACAAATCGTACAAATGAACCAACCCTGAAGTACAACGCTGACACGCTAACAGCAAATAATACGAAAGCGTAGTATATCTAGTATACTGCATCTAGCCTCGGAAACAGATTTCTTACTGCTTATTTCGGCGCTTTCTCTATATATGCACAACCTTATCCTAAAGCTAACCCTAACCTGATAATATCAATCTATATATACGTAATCTACATATTTCGATTGTTCATATATCGAGAAATTGATCTTATTTTTTCATATTATTTCCTGGAATTTCTATTCAAAGATGTTCTTCACTAGTTTTTTTTGTCTTGAGTGTTTTCTTGATGATATGGTGTGGTCGCTTTGTTAGCAAAAGATGCAATAGTATTTCTCGTTCATTTCGGCGACTTTGCTGAAACCGGGCCCCATGTTTACAATTCTGAGCAGTAAACCACCTGCCAATCAAAACGCTAAGACGATAGTCATTTCTCATGTGAAAGATATCGTCTATCGTCAGGATACGATTTTTATTTCGCCTATATCTGTTGCATGAAATATTTATACAAGTAATTATATAATAATGCAGTTTTACAGAACCATGAACGTGAACTGAACTTACTGTATTGCGTTTCACAATCACTTTCCATGCCGTTCTGTCAATGCAGGTTGGCATGCAGCAGCATGTAATTTTATATTAGAGAGTTTGGCAAATACAACGGCAACGAGAACGTGCTCATCAACAATAGGGCCATTTATACGAGCGAAAATAAGTCGCGGCCTAAATAAGCCGCGGCTTAAATAAGTCGCGGCTTAAATAAGTCGCGAACGACTCGTATAAACAGTCAATTTGCAATAAGCCGCGGCTAATTTAGGCCTAGCTTTCAAGCCTGGGCTTTTTGCCGCGACTTATTGCAATTTGACTGTTTATACGAGTCGTTCGCGACTTATTTAAGGCGCGACTTATTTTCGCTCGTATAAATGACCCTAATGTCATCTTTCTAAGACAATTGCGAATGTAATTTACATTCTGGTACGTCGTAGTTGTTCAAACTGCTACGTTATTTACATCATTTTCACGGCTCATGACCACGTATGTCAACAGACTAAAACGAAGTCGTTTGCGGTGTTTTATGTGAATTCACTTACTACAATTGCTACTTCGGGGAATTTTGTTTAAAAGAAAGATAAGTGCTTTTAAAAGTTTAGTAATGTATGTTTTCGCTCAAATACAAAAGTATAATTAGTAATTTTGTTTTCTGCCGTAGCCGTTGTTGGTTGTCAACTCACTATTTAGTACAATTGATGATTCCCTTTATTACGTTTTCGTAGCGCTTTGCATTGTGGTATCACTGATAAAGATAGCGGCCTCGAATGAAAATATGGGCACTATAAAGATGTTTTCGCGAATATTTTGCTGTTAGCTATCGCGCACCTGACCCTAGCTTTTTTTAAAAGTTCTTGCACGGGTCAGGAAGAAAAAAATAAGCCATCTTGAATATCAGTGATACCACTATAACCACAATGCAAAGCGCTACGAAAACGTAATAAAGGGAATCATCAATTACAGTAGCTGTTTGTTTCTTTTCCAAGATCCTCCTCACGGTGAAGATTTTGAAGTGGTTGATGAAGGTCTGGTATATGGCACTGACCTTGTCAAACATATTAGACAAGAGTTTGGAGATTCGTTTACGATTTGTGTTGCTGGTTAGTAGTATAACTTTCACCTATAGTGTGTAGTTGAGTATTCAGAGGTATTCTTTTACATCAGGCCAAAAAATAGTGGTCATGGTTTCTGGTCAGTTTGTCTGCCCAAAATTAACCCACGAGCGCTCGGCGTTTTCTTTTCCATTTTTTTCCAAGGGAGCGCTTTTTGCAGAAATAGCGAGTACATTTCTAGTTTCTATAGGTGCAAATGGTCTTAGCTAGGATTTTAGATTTTGGACGTTTTTCTAAATTTCCAATTACCCCCAGAATAGGCCAAATTCATGGTCCCAGTCATGCTCGCCAACAATATTTAATATATACGTCATAATGTGGAAAGAATAAAAAAGTGACTCACTCGCCTCGGCGGCTCGTGCTGAGCCATTTTTTGTTCTTCCAACATCGATGTCATACTGTGTGTCTATACTGCATGAACAGACAACGGCAAAATCTTATCTATTTGTTATCTAGACTATGCCTAGGGTTGTTCTATGCTTTACAACCAAATACAAACATTAGCAAACTCTATTTTAGCAAACTCTTGGGGCGTTTATATATAGCCTACGGTTCCCATTGTCTATGTTCATCTAAAGATAAAAACATCACGGATCACTTTTATCAATATCAACAAATTAAATTTTACAAACTTTCGTACGACATAAATATATGAGGAAATTCTGTCTTGTAATTAACACTTTCTATATGATTCTACACGGCTTTACAAAAATAATGAAAGCGCGTTCGTTTTATCTTGCCGTGTTTTTCCATTTTTGGCCGCGGTAACATGGCCAACACGGGCTTCTGGCGAAGACCCTGTAAATTTATTGATTTTCCATGCCTAATGTTAAACTTTTACCAAGTTTACATAGAATAAAATGACAGCAAGGCTTAATTAATGTTGTGAATTCCTTTTTTTCAGGTTACCCACAAGGCCATCCTGACTGTAGTAGCTATGAAGAAGATCTGATCCACCTCAAGGAGAAGGTTGACGCTGGTGCTGACTTTGTCATTACTCAGCTTTTCTTTGAAACTAAAACCTTCCTCAAGTTTGTTGACGATTGTCGTGAGATTGGTATTGATGTGCCCATTATTCCTGGCGTTATGCCAATTCAGGTTTGTTACCGGTTGTGTTTGGAAAGACGTCCTTATCTTTCATTTAGGAACCTAACTGTTTATTCTGAAAGGAGATACCCTGCTAGCCGATCCGAGTTATGCAAGGTGTATCGAAACGCCAATCTTGTCAATCCTATCATTTCAAGCAAAAATGACCAATGAATAAATAATGTATTTAAAAATTGCCGGTTGAAATCACATTTTTCCACATATATGTGCATTTTTAAAGCAGTGCCGAATAAAAGAAAAACCAATCAATCTCTAATGTGTGATGCCAAACAATAAGCTTAAAACACCAGTGACCAGATGTTAGGGCTTTTTAAATTAAAATTCATGAATTTTAGATCCAAATGGAATATACTTTCAATAGCTTTTCTCCAAATTCCCAACGGTGGAACAATGCGATTTCCACTGCCAATTTTTTATTCGATTCGTACTTCGCCATTTTCTCTTATAGTGATAAAAGAAAGGTATCATTGGACAGTTAAAATGTTATCGAGAAACTCAATATCTAACGCACGCGAACATGCAGAAGTTGGATTATCTTTATTAATGTTCCTGCGGATTCAAAGTTTTCGGATGCGGCTCAAAAGCGAGATGATTACGTATCGGTTTCATCGTTGCATGACTGTGTAAACGGCAACGTGAAGCCTGTACTAAAATGTTTCGGTTTTCGTGATGAATCCGAAATCTTTCGCCCTAGCAACGATGTTTTGATGTTCTCCGTTGGCCGTTGTTTAGAAGTTTTTGTTGGTATAGGAGGTTTCAATATAAAGATTTTCAGTTAGAAGTCATATAGCTTTAAGGACGTGTTACACGAGACAATTTTTGCTGCAATTTGCGACGTAATTTCGGATACAGGGCCATGTTATCTAAAAAGTATACTCTGGGGAAATCATGCACAAGCATGCATTGACCGCATTTTATTCTGACAACACTTTCTTTACAAACTGTAACATATTCTCGGAGGAAAAATGAAAGGATTGAGATGCAAAATGTTGGCAGAGTAAACTTTGCCCCACGCTCATAATTTTCCAGCGCGACTATACTTTTTCGATTTAACATGACTCTATGTCAGAAATTATGTTGCAAGTTGCTGCAGACATTCGTGTAACATGGCTTTTGTCTCTGTTAGGTACATTGTGTTCATTGGTTGCGGTTTAATACTATATACAATTTAACAAATAGATAATATTTTGCCGTTGTTAGTTCAGTTATAGGTACACATTATGTAGGTAGCGATAATGCGCGTGCTTGCGTACCGGAGGAACGCCAATATTATGGTCTAGCTGGTCTGTGTTTTTAACCAACTATACCGCGTAGGTAAAGCGGAACTCTCGCTATCTGCGTACTTTAGAGACTTGTATGAAGTTTGCATGTCTTGAAATGAAGAGTTCTTGGACTGATGGGACTAAGGAATATTGTAGTTGATTCTATTGTTTGTGTATACGATCGTCGTCCTTCCCGTTCTAACTCATAGTTTCAAATTACTGAATTAATACCTGCATGTGGGAAACCTGCACTCGATGTACCTCATTTTAAAGACTATAAGTATAGTACACCTTGAGTCTTAAATTTGTACCAGCTCAAGTACGCTGCAATAATCATTGGGCATTGGAGAAGATGCAGTCAGGTACGACTAAAAATTTGCACTCTGCAGTACGACGTCATAACGTTGTAAGAACAAAAAAGTGGCCCACGTGCCGACGGGGCGAATGGTCACTGATGTTCCTATCAGATTATGATGTTACACTGTACCACTATAACTGAACAGACAAGGGCAAAGCGTTATCTATATTTGTTTATACAATAAAAAGAAAAAAACCCGAATTGAGCAGGACGTAAAGAATTTATTTTTTATTCCCCCCAAACATTTGGAAAATTGAAAAAGTCGAAATTTTACAAATATCACGCGTACATGATCTATACTAATAAAGAAATGCTATTGGCTAGCTTAAGTCACTTGCTGAATTGTGAGTGGCTGCGCAAAATCAAATTTGTGTGATGTAATTCCGTGCTTCTGTCCAATGAAATCGCTTGAATTCTCAAAGGTTATCATATAAATTAAATTATTAATTTACCATATCTTAATCAATCTTACAGAGCTACGATTCACTCCGACATTTGGTGAAACTATCAAAACTCAGTATACCTCAAGATCTCCTTGATGCAATCCAACCGATCAAAGACGATGACAAGGCCATCCGTAACTATGGCGTAGACTATACCGTAAAGATGGTCAACGAATTATTTTCGAATGGTGTACCTGGCATTCACTTCTATACTTTGAACCGAGAGGTAGGTAATTACCTAGAGATAAATTGTTTTTATAACAGGGCTCGAAAAAGCCGGCTGCCAATAGTCAAAAGCAGGCTATGTGCACATTTAGGTGAGGATCCAGGTTATGTTCACGTTTGGATTGTAATTCTAATCCCAATCCTAACTCGGGTATAACAATGGGATTATGTTCAGACTTGGATTAGATTTGGAATAAATCATTACAATAATGCTACTCCCAATACTAACAGGAATAATATGGCTGGGAAATCGCTGTATAATTGTATAAATTACGTTTGTTGATATGGAAAGAAGATCAGCAACCAAGGTATTTATTATAATTGTAGGTTGCTACGACAGAAATTTTGAAACAAACAAGCTTATGGTCATTGGAGCCATTGTACGCGCGTTCGTTACCTTGGAAACCATCGGCAAATGTTAAGCGGATCAAAGAAGAAGTTCGTCCGATATTTTGGGCGTCGCGGGCGAAGAGTTATGTACATCGCACATCTGAATGGGATGAGTTTCCGAACAGTCGGTGGGGAGACTCTGCAGCAGCCTCGTTTGGTGACCTCAGTGACTACCATTTGTTTTACTTACGAAATAGAACGAAGAAGGAAACATTGTTAAAAATGTGGGGTGAACAATTGACTTCTGTTCAGGATGTATATGATGTGTTTGTGTGCTACATCAGTGGAGAGAAGAATGTCAATGGAACAAAGGTAATTTCTACAATCATTCAATATTTTTGGTAAAAATACCCAGTCTTTTATTTTTGCAAAACTTTCTATTCATACGCCTGAATTTTCATAAGTGGATATAACTTGATCCAGACCTAGAAAAACTCGGATGTCGTGGGATCCTCAGGAACATTTTCAATTTTTCATTTCACGTTATGGGAAATCTTAATTTCCTCGTTCAGTTTTAAGCGAAATTTGAAATGCAACTCTTTACGCGGTGTATTCGATTACGTACTGTACGGCAGGGTGTAAACATTCCTTAATTAACATAAATAAAGTCAAATAATGTACCTTGTTGGATACACATAGCGAACTTAAGCTATATGCTTAATCTAGAACGGGGACGCGACAAGAAATAGCCTGAAACTTTACACTTTTAAAACTATAAAGAACTACCGTTATCAAGAACGTCCACAGGCCGGACGAACGCGCAACGAGGACGGCTATCGTATTAATACACGAAAATGAGCAATTAAAATTCCACGGAAGTTTTAGACGTCGCCGTCGCCCTGTTTCCGACGGCAAAATACAGATTACCACGTCTTGTATACAACGCATACGGTACATTTCAAGCTGGGACAACTGCTACTTTTAATTGGGTCCTAGAACTTTTCTCAATCATTAAACCTGTGTTAACCTCATTCTTCAAACTGTGTTATTTTTCATACGATGGATTCTAGACGACACTTTTTCTTCTGCAATCATTTGGTTCAACGAATTGGTTTGCCGTCGCATTCCAGTTCTGCATGCTTAAGGTCGCTAATTACGTATGACGTATCTGATCGAAACCTTACCAAATAGGGTGTTTCAAAATGTATAATGTTTCCTACAAAACAAAACAATTGTGTTTGTCGCCATGGAAACCTACAGGGTGCTTATTACCATCTGCCTCAATCAATGCAATTTTCAGAATATTTGTTATCATAAGTAATTTTAGGTAAGCTTGCTATAATAATTAAAAGCTTGATTTTTTCTTTTTCGTAGTTATTTGACTTTCCAGCGCACAAGTAATAGTTGTACAAGAAAATAATAGTTCACTATAGTATTTCATTGTAGCATGCACGCAAGTTTGAACTATGGTTAAACCGGAACTGTAATGTATGCAAAAAAATTTTAGTATTGTATGGATACGAAGCGATTTCGATCAGCCTTTTTCGTTTTCTTGATCAAATAAGTTATAGTTTCTTTAATGATCAATTTTTATCGCATCTCAAATTTTTGATACTCCAATCGCAATCACATTCATAAATAATATTTCCTGTAATCTTTTCTTTACCATGAATTTTCGCCACGAAATCAACTTTCTCGATTATATCTTGAAATAATTTAATCCTCAATAATATTCAAAACAATCTACGGATGCTCAGTTAAGACGAGTTGACTTACCTTGCCTTAGGTGTCAATTCTTGGCCACAATTTCCGATCGTGTATTGTCTTGGATACCTAGCTGCAGCACTTATAAAGACAAGGGTGCAATTCTAAATACTTTTCGTGTATTCTTAAGGTGACCATGCTACCCTGGAATGAAGATGAGTTAGCGCCGGAGACATCGGAGGTTTCTGAAGATCTTGTTGAATTGAATCGTAAAGGAGTGTTGACGATCAACAGTCAACCGCATGCAAATGCTGCAAAGTCAACTGACCCAGTCTTTGGTTGGGGAGGAGCTGGTGGATATGTTTATCAAAAGGTACTGAATGTTTTGCTGTGTGTTGGGTATATAGTACAACGAACAACTACAGTATAAGTCAGTACAAAATCACAAGTTTTTGGACTGCACATGTCTGGCGATTCATTGCGTAGAATTTGCGATCATACCAGCTAGGGTACTGTATATATTACATATATAAGTACCTAAAAAAGTCTTACAGTTATTACAAATATAACTGAAATACCTAAAAAGGACAACCTGAAAATTCAATTGTATCTGAAACAAAAGCATGCGACTAACCTCAGTTATTGAAGAACGATTGGATTTTGGGTTTTTTTATGTTGCAGAGCGTACTAACGTGTACTGCTTTTTTATTGGAACAAAACACTTCACTTGTTCAGTTTAAATTTCCTATAGCGACTTATGCTAACTATATTTTCCTACTGATGCACACTATATTCTGTATAAACAGACAGTTGTACCAAATCAATCAATTCCATGCAAATACCCTAAATTAAGATGTTGCATGCAAAAGGGACGAAACGTCTATTAAAATATTTTTTTTATTGAACTTGTTTATGGTTTTTGAATTGTCCACTTTTTAGGCTATGATACCTGATTTACATGTTATTTAGGCATATTTGGAATTCTTTACTCGAAAGGAAGTTGTGGACAAATTATTGGAAGTATTAGGAACGAATTATCCAAGCGTGAGCTATCATGTTGTTGATCATACAGTAAGTACATTTTTAATAATGCAATTAAGAACACTAGCAATTTTCTTTATAGATTCAACGAAATTGTATAATAAATAACTCTAAAATAATAATTGTATGATAAATCACTGAGTTTATAAATTGAGCAGTATTTGAGTTCTTGGGAGAACGTTGTCAAACATATCCAAAATCGTGTCTACAAAAAGAGAAACGAAATATTGGCAATTGAATGAATGAGCTAAGCCTCGAATCAAAGACAAAGTGCAGAGCACAAATTCAAATCCATGTCTTTTGTGTTCAGGGAACATTCCCATTTTTTTAATTTTTGCACACATCATTGCGATGAAACAGTGTTTCAGGTGAATTTCAAAGCCATCATAACGGGAATATATTATTCAAGCTCAACATAGCGTTGACCATACAGATTTTACGATAATGATATGATATGGTAGTCTTCAGAACAAGCGCTTTTCACCCCTGAGAACGTGGATTCGATTCTCGCTACGGACTCATGTGAAAAGAGTGAGTCAACACTCTGCCAAAAGTCGTGGGTTTTCTCCGGGTGCTCTGGTTTCCTCCCACAGGGAAAGTTGACAGAGTGGGTTAGGATAAACCTAGTTAGCAACGTCATATCACAACTGTTGTAAAGATAATTAGTCTAGGCTTAGTACATAGCCTAATACAAGTAAGCGTCATACTTGATGTAGCTAATCTGTCAATGAAAAGCCCCGTTGCATGCAGGGAGTGAGCTGAATAATAAATGTATGTATGTATATGGTATCATATGATATCAGATTGTAGATGGCTTTTAGTAGGTGGAATTTTTGACATAACTGGGAGCAGCGGCAACAAATGCAGCTGTTAAAATTCCATGTACTAAAACCCATATACATTATATCTTATTGGATTCTTCTGAGCCCAATATGGCAAAATATTAAGTCGAGACTTCAATATTGGGCGAGACCGAAGGTCGAGCCTAATATTGAAGTCGAGACTTAACATTTTGCCATATTGGGCGAAGATGAATCCAATAGGAGTTTTATTATATCGAACAAAACAATTCTATAACAAAAATTGTCAATAAGCGATAAAGTAAATACAGCGAGACTAATACAGCGACAACATTACTACATATATCGCCGGCGAATTTGCTTGAATAACTAAAAAAAAGTTAATAAACCTGTTTTTACAAATATGTGTACATAAATAAACTCAATTCCATGTATGTTTAAAAGAAATTTGACCTAATTTTAACGAAAAAAATAATATTACTAACTTCTAGACTGTTGCAAACAAAAACAATTTCGCGAAGACAAGTTTTCCCGCGCTTTTATAATTTTAAACAAAACTGGTAGAAAAAACTGTATTAATGTCCCAAATTCTTTTCATTATTCTGCCATATCGTTTGTCGTATGTTTGAAATTGACAAAACATCTGAAAAGGGTTGAAAAACCATGAAAAAAGCCACAATTCGCAACTGCCCAATAGGTTCCTGTCCAATATCGTAAAATATTGGATCGGCACGTGACCCTCTCAACGATTACTGATTGGTTAAGTGCGCGTGAGTGTATAATAATCAGTTTTATTGACCTAGTGACCTTTTAAAGTTAAACACTTGGTGGTACTGTAAGTTTTTTATTCTGTTTCACATTGTGTAGGGTGAGGTTGATACAATCAGTGAAGATCTGGCTTCTCCTGTTGCTGTCACGTGGGGAGTATTTCCTGGAAAAGAAATTATTCAGCCTACAGTTGTTGATCCTGTCAGTTTCCAGATTTGGAAGGTAATTAAAGAACATATTCCTAAAATCAGCACAATGTAAATTCAATATCTGGGTCAATAGACGAAGACTATCTAACTTCTTCACTTTTAAAGATAAAATTCCTAAGGGGCTGAGATCGGGGGTAGTGTATACCTTTCAGTGTCGATGCTGTGCCGCGTCGTATGTGGGCCAAACGGTCCGTCATTTACACACGCGAGTGGTAATGAGAGCAGTATAATCCGATGCACTCACAAGCTTCCTTTCGCACCTCAAAACCACATGGCCGCACAGCTTCTATTAGCCATTCCGAAGTTGATGAGTGGACTGGGGACGAGTGTTAAAAAGTGCCCAAATTAAGAAATCACTGAAAAGACCACATCAAAATTAGTAAGTGTACAAAGTTTGAAGATGTTTACATGAATACCCTCCGAATAATAAGCTTTCGAAAATCATGATATTGACTATGAAATGTATTGTAATTTTTGTTTTGGGGGACGCGCGTCCTAAAAACAATCTTTTAATCAGTAATTTCACAATTTTCGAAAGCTTATTATTCGAAGGGTATTTATGTAAACGTCTTCAAATTTTGTGTACTTACTAATTTTGAGGTGGTCTTTTTACTGATTTGGTTCATTTCTTAATTTGGGCACTTTTTAACACTCGTCCCCAGTCCTCTCACCAACTTCGGAATGGCTGATTGACGACTTCAAAGTTTTTTTGTTCTTGCGCCAACTCTGATGAACTTCTAATTCGCGAAAGTCTCTTAATTTCAAACTCAAGCCCTCCTTAAACAAACAAGGCATTTCTTTCCCTTTTTCCCTGCTCTAATTGCTGTCCTTCCTACTCTCATGATTCCCGCCCCCACTCTCATTTCCTTGTTGTCTGTGTCTGTAATACACCTTGTAATATTTAACAATTATTAAATGAGGTTGGGCACGATATGAAGAATTATCAAGCAGGAAGTTTGCCGTTATCAACCGAAGCCGAAGGCTGAGGTTGATAACGGCAAACTGAGGGCTTGATAATTCTTCATATTGTGCGAAAACCGAATTCAATAATTGTTTTATTATTCATTTAAAAAAATCAAAACAAACGGAAGCCATTTCTATTTTATTTGTTAAATTAAGAAAAAACAATTCTTTAATCCTTCCAAATTTTTTTTCATATTGACTCTTTGACGTCATTTTGCTAATATGAATGTGAAAAATACATATTTGGTTAGCCATTGAGTTGATATGACAATTTTTTTTCTGAAAAGATTTATTCATAGATTGAGCATAGCTAGATACATTAAAAATATATAAAATCCATTAAAGCAATTCGTTTAAAAAGGTTCAAGTTAGTACAAAGTGTCAAACAAACTAATATTATTCATATAAAAAGGAACTCTAGTGCCCCTCAAACAAAGAAAGGGAAGAACTCAGCAGACAAAAAGAGAGTTTCGTACGTAGCCAAGACATAGTTATTGAGTATGGTTTGCCAAATTTGGCTGCCAGCTTTGTAGCAAGAATCTTGTGAAATCTCGCACATTCTTTACCCATCGCACCATTTGTGCCAAAGACCAATGGTGTAAAAACTGCTTGCTCAATTTCAATTACTCTTCGATTATATTCTCTTTTCTTCTCATTCTCATGACGTGAGAGGATCTTGTGGGTTGGTAGTAACTTATAGGACGCGGCGTTAAGATGTGCTACTCTTATGTCAAAAAATGCACTTTGGCCATGTCTATAGAAACCCCTAGCTTTCACATCAAGTCGTGATTCATCTTCTGTGTTTGTTGATCTCAAGGCAAATTCTTCTCCTGTCACCGGTTGTAAAGGTGGCTTGATAGAAACATCATTGCAGACTTCAGAGAGGAGAGCAGCTTCCAGATTTCTCATTTGGTCGTGGCGCGCGTGTATAAAGCCACCTTTTTTACACTCCATCGCGTGGTAAGGATCGAAAGGTTTTCCACAGGTACATATGCTTGGGAGATCTGGGATATATTTGTTATATCTCAGCGCCAAAGCGTCTCTGAATTCTTCTTTATTCAGACAGAAGCCTTCTTTTTGCAGTGGTAAGACATTTAACCATCCAGAGGCACCTTTATCTCGGGCTAAAGAGATTGTTCGATGCTGCTCTTGGGAAAGTTGAATATCAACCGATAATGAGGAGGTAGTTGCTCTTTCCACCCGAAGACTTCGAACTTGGGACTTTACGTTGGTTATTTCGTCGTCTTGTGGAAGTTGATTACATGCTTGAATGATGATCAAAGCAGATAGTGGAGCACATAACAGTTTTGACGTATTTCGCTCGAAATCAGCATCTTCTGGGATACGTGGTATTCCCAGTCCTCCATTACGTATGGGCAGAGCATAAGTTTCCCGATCAAGTTGAGAAATATCCTGGCCAAATATAGTTGGTAGAAATTTCGAACAAATAATTTCTTCTACAGGTTGGAACAAATGGGCCACGTTTGGAATAGTCCTGATGTAAAAAGTAAACTTGTGCTTATAACCATGCACAAAAGCAGCGTATGCGGCATGTGGCTGCGACTTCGCTATAGAGCATAGATTTTCGAGCTCAGTACACCAAGTTGAGACTTTGCTATTAACATATTCCTCTCTGAAACAAGTAGATCCAATGACAGCTCCCAGTAATCTATGACCATCGGATGTAATCTTGATGTCGTGACTTTTAAATAATTCAGTGGCTCTCTCTATATCACACGGATCTTTAATTACTAACCAAGATTTCCCACTGTTGACATGGTAGCCATACTTTACGCCTTCGCTTATCAGCATTTCAAAAAACGCCAGTAAAGCACGTAGTTTACCTGCTGCGGTCGAGTCATCGGCAAACCAAACCTGTTTCACCATATCATATGCATCATGAAGAAATGAAATTAATACCATGACCGAAATGGCATAGAATGGCATGGTTAATGGGTCCCCCTGTGTTGTGCCTTCTTGCGATCGAAGCTCACCTCCGCCCACAATAAATAGCCTCGCGGGGTTTCGATACGTATTAATTATGGATATCGCTGGTCTTGGGCATAATAACAAAATGTTATGAAGAGCAACTTGACGATTTAGTGAATTAAATGCATTACTTGCATCAATCCGTAAGATCCCTTCCGTGTTTTCCTCTTCCCATACTTGCTGCATAGCATGGATGGCTGCTTCTGCTCCAGCTTCATGCCCAGCACAGACTTGAATCGGACCAGTCGCTTCTTTGAAATCTTGCTTGAATTCCTTTGTTAGCGCTTTCCCAACCAAGCGCCTCATAATCTCACCAATACCGATGGGTCGTATACCAGGGGACTTTGTCTAAGGGGATAAGTCTATTGGCAACATATGCTTCCAGGCAGAAGGGATCCAGACTTTCTGTTGCTATTGTCACAGCAAACAAAGCAATTTGTTCACGCAGGCATTTACCTTCACGGTGAAATTGCTTTGAGCAAAGCATACGAATATACTGATTAGCGTCGAGGCCAGAGGGACCAGCAGCTCCCTTTAGTGTTTTCGCAGCAGTTAGTATAGTTTGCTCATCAACTGCTATAGATATATTGCGAAGGTCAATAATGGGACCATGGAGTAAGCTACTTGGTTGTATATCTGCAGGGGCTG